TAAACGGAAAGAATCTAGCTCTTGGCTATGTTTTTACAGATTATAATATTAAAAGAAAATAATGTTTATAAAATAAACATTTTTTTGGTAAATCTGAAAAAAAAAATGAGCATAATACTGTAATGGGGAGTCCTGTGGTGATTCCTAATAGTTGTTTTTGTAATAAGATATTTAAAATTGTGTGGCAAAGGAAGATTCCTTGTTCTAGTGAAGAAATCCCTGTCTTCCCTTACTTCTCTCACAGTTTTAAACATGAATCCTGATTTTCTATAGTGGTTACCCCTGCCCCCTTCGTCCCTTTTCTTTTTAAACAACAAAAGGCCCCTGAACTTCTACTAGTTTTTGTTCAGGAAACCAATTTTAAGTGACTTTAAGTTAGAGTTTTCATGTATTCTGCAAATAGTTGCTGAGTCTTACTGTGTGTTGGGCCCTGTGCTTGATCTAGGGAGTATCAGGTATAGATTCTACCCTACACCTGACCTCAGGAGGCTTGTGGTCTTGTGTGATGGAAGAGACGTGTTCATGAGTTCTTACAGTTACATCAATATGTGCAAAGTGTGATAAGAAGATGGAAACATTTTATTGGTAGAGTTGAGAGGCTGGGGGAAAGCAGGAAAACCTCAGAGAGGGGTTAGGCTTTGAGCAGGGCCTGGAAAGGTGGGCAGGAGGTTGACAGAGGTGAGAGGTGCCTGCCCAATGACTCAGGCAGGCTTTGGGGAGGCAGGCAAATGTCACGCGCCTTTGGGGACCAGCGAATTATCCAGTTTGGCTGGTAAACACTAGCATAGGGATAGAGGAGGGCTTAAGCTACAAAGACCTAGCACTTTTTTTTTTTTTTTGAGTTGAGTATTAGCCCCTGAAGGTTTTTGAGATGGAGAATAACTTGGTGAGGTCAGAATATTAGCAGTATTTACCTGTTGGCTGCTTTGAGAGAGACAGGAAGGAGTCTAAGGCAGCAGTTCTCGTGAGAAGAAATTCTTGGCTGAGGATGCTGGTGGGTGAGCACAGGGAGGAAAAGACATGAGCTGAATTCATGGAACTTGTTCATGGTAGGGACAGAACGCCTAGAAGAGACTCAAAGATTCTGTGTGTGTGTGTGTGTGTGTGTGTGTGTGTGTGTGTGTGTGTGTGTGTATGCATATGTGTGTACCAGTTGAAAATGGATTTGACTCTCTTGCATCCAAGATGAGCCCTGACTAGGAATCCTGATGATGGAAAGCAGCCATTCTGTAGGGTGCCCTGAGGGCAGAAGCCGCTTTCTCCATCTGCCTCTTCAGTGCCAGGCAGCACATGCTCAAGAAATGCCTGTAGAAGGGATGAATATTGTAGATTTAGTTGGACACATAAGTGAGTTTACCCTTGGGATGGGACTAACAAGTGATGAAGGGCCAAGCACAGCTAGGTTTGAAGCCAGACTCGGCCACTCCTGACTGATCCTGAGCAACCTGCTACACCTTTCTGTTTCCTTGTGTACAGAATAGAGGGTAAGAACACCATCTGTTGGGATATAATATGATTATTCATATTGACTGAATGAATTGGTGTACATGAGACATCTAAGCCTGTACCTGGAATACATCTGAGATAAATGCCCCTCAGACATTGGCTGCTGTTACTCACAGGGAGTGTAGATGTGGGCCTGATTGCCAGCAAAGTAATGAGGAGTTGGGCTGGGGGTTAGTAGCTTTGGGAATGCCTGACAGCCTTGGCCGAGAGATAGGAGAGGGGGTGGGAGTGAGGCAGTTTAGACAGAGTGCCCAGTGGGGAAGGGCAAGGAAGAACGGTAAAGGAGCAAGGACCGGGTTGGAGAGGCAGGAGGGGACCCTGTAGAAGAGTTCAGTGTCAGCTATCCCAGGCAGAAGAATGTTTCAGGATGGAAGGGAAGTAAAAAGTATCAAAATCAGGGGCGTCTGGGTGGCTCAGGTCATGATCTTGTGGTTCACCAGTTCGAGCCCCGCATCGGGCTTTCTGCTGACAGCTCTGAGGCTGGAGCCTGCCTCACACTCTGTGTCTCCCTCTCTCTCTGTCCCTCCCCCACTCATACTCTGTCTCTCTCTCTCTCTCAAAAATAAGTAGCACATTAAAAAAAAAAAAATTTAAAAAGTGTCAGAATCATAGAGCTCAGAGAGGGCAAGAACTGAGCCTGGACATTTGAGTTCATTTGTTCAGGCAGACATCATTAGAACCCATTGCTAGAGAACAGAAGCTGAGTTACCTGTGTTTACCGAGCGTCTCAGAAGATTCTGTCAGATAAGGAAGTATCAGAGGCAGAGATTAAAGGCCAAATTTCTAAAGTTGCTTGAAGACAATATGGCTTTTTTAAAGCTTATTTATTTTGAGAGAGAGAGAGAGAGAGAGAGAGAGAGACAGCGAGCTGTGGGGCCTGAACCCACAAACCATGAGATCATGACCCACTCTGAAATCAAGAGTCGGATGCTTAACTGACTTAGCCACCCAAGTGCCCCCACTATGGCTTTTTAAGTTTGTTCTAGCAAATGGCTAGGACGGGGTACAAAGGCCACTGTACTTCACAGGTTCTTCTCGTCCTCTATGAGAATAGGCCCCCTGGGGGTGTGCAGTGCTCATTCTGCAAGGTCCTACATGGAAAACACTGGTATGGTGGCATATATATCAATAATAAGAGAATAAAATGTAATGTATAATGTAATAAATAAATACTAGTAAGCTAATTACAATGAATGCCGTGAGATACGTTGTAACAGACACTTAATGAGTACTTATTATGAACCAGCAGCATTATAAGTGCTTTGCACGTATGATCTCATTTAATCACCAGCAGCTCTGAGGTACAGGTGTTGTTGACCTTATTTTATAACCGAGAGGGGCTGGGTAATGTGCACAGGGTCACACGGTTGGTAAGTGCGTGCTGGGGCCGGGATTATACACCCGGCAGTGTGGTTACAGAGCATGTGCTGTTAGCAGCCACACTAGGCTGCTTCCTTTTATTTTGGAAGGCAGATGGCATTAGGTGTCCTGCCTGATGAACAGGAGGTCTAGAGAGAGGAACTGTGGCCCTGAAGGAAGGGGCTGGCGGGAGTGGGGGAGCGCTGGTTCAGAGAGGATGGGCAAGACTAGGATCAGAAACTCGGGGAGATGGTCAGTGTGGAAACTGACCTACTTGCTCTCAGGGAGGGGAGAAGGAGGACTGGCAAAAATCCAGAGGAAGAGAGGCAAGAGATTTTATGGGAGCAGGAGAAAGATAAGACATTTTCAGAGATATTTTGAGTTGGTGAGGGAGACCACCATCCATCTGGAGAATTTTGCAGTGGGTTTTTAAGAATTGCTTCCCACTGGTAATTTGATTAAACCTAGTCCTATGGGAGAAAGGGGTTGAGGGGGAGCAGTGTTAGGGTGTGAGGTTCATTGATTGACCTTGACAGCTTTCCAAGGCACCCTTTAGTGGAGCCGTGAAACTAACACCATCCAAGGAGAATGACTGTATTTTGGTCACCTGCTACTGCTTTGATTTGCTTCCAGAAGTGGAGTTGAATGGCAGTAGGAGGTTGAGGAAAGAGTCATGTTGTCTTTTTTGTGACAAGATGTTCTGAAGATGTCATGTGAAGATGTCTCAGATTTCAGGAGGAAGAAAAACCCAAAGGTGGAAGAAACAAAGAATGAAGGAAGCAGAGGCATTTTGAACTCGAGAGCTGCTGAGGTGTGGATGACACTGAGGAGTGCCTGGCTCAGACCTTACAATTTTCTAGAAACCAGATATGTTGTTTAGGATAGTGCTTCTCAAACTATCTGTAGCGAGGAGCTATTTTTGATATTGTTCTAAAGCTGTGGACTGTTTATATTTTGGCAAATATCAACAGTGAATTAGAAAAAATAAATTACAAATCATAGGGAATACAAACCCAATTTGTTGTCTATTATTAGATTCAACAGACTCTGTGAAATTGCTAAAAATAAGTTGCTAAGTGCTTGTAATTTCTGAAATTAGCTTGTCATGGACTTCTTACAGGCTCAGAACAAACATAGGCTCGTAGCTGACAGTGGGTTTCACTTTGTGTATGTTGTCTGACCGAGAATTCAGACACCAGGCAGATGGTTCACAGGGTTCCAGTTCCCCAAGCTCTTTCCAGATTATCCAGCCTGGTGCATGGAATATACTAGACACTCAACAAGTAAACACTTGTTAAACAGCCCCTTTAAGAGATGATTTTGAAATGTGTGGGTGGCTCAGTCGGTTAAGCACCTGACTTCAGTTCAGGTCATGATCTCGCAGTTTGCAAGTTCAAGCCCTGCATTGGCCTCTGTGTTATTAGCGCAGAGCCTGCTTCGGATCCTGTGTCTCCCTCTCTCTTTGCCTCTCCCCCACTCTCTCTCAAAAATAAACATTAAAAAAAAATTTTTTTTAACATTTATGTATTTTTGAGACAGAGAGAGAGCATGAACAGGGGAGGGTCAGAGAAAGAGGGAGACACAGAATCTGAAACAGGCTCCAGGCTCTGAGCTGTCAGCACAGAGCCCGATGCAGGGCTCGAACCCACGGACCGCGAGATCCGTATTCTGCTGAATTTGTGGGGCCCCTGGGTGGCTCAGTCGGTCAAGCTCCCACCTCTTGATTTCGGCTCAGGTCATGATCTCAGGGTTGTGAGATCAAGCCCTGTGTCAGGCTCAGCTTGGAGTGTGGAACCTGCTTGGGATTCTCTCTCTGTCCCCCTCTCTCTCTGCTCCTCCCCCACTGTGTCCTCTCTCTGTCTCAAAATAATAAACTTAAAAAAAAAAAAGCTGATTTTTATATGCAGTATAAAATTTGAATAGTTTGAATGCAAGTCTCTCAAAAATAAGATAACTAAAATTTGTTGACCTGGTGGTAGGAAGCATTTTAAAGCAAAGTGCTCCTTCCCTTGTTTTGCAGTTTACAAAAAGCACATCTTTGTAGATTTCAAGAAACCTTAGTTACCAGAAAGCCATGGTTTGTTCCTCACGTGTGTACTCGCTAACCTCAGCCACAGTTCATCTTTTGTCTCTAGGTCGTGTCGGCCGCTAAGGTTTGTGGGGCTGCTGCTGAGTCGCCATCAGTGAAAAGGCTCCACCTGCTTGTTGCTGATAAAGATTTTTCTTTTAAAGCTGGCCAGTGGTAAGTGGCTTCTCTCTTTCCTTGGTGTTTTGTGTTCAAGGAGTTGCCATCAAATAGCAGGGCTTAGTTTTTCTTCTGGAAAGGACTACATTGGCTGGCTGTTTCTCCTGAGCAGTAGGAATTCTAGACCATCCCCGTTCAAGGGGAGCCTCCTTTTGGCATGGAGAGAGAATCTGATTCATTTCCTTGCCTCGGATCACCTTGGTTTTGAGCCCTTGACCTTCTCAGTCATGTATGAAAATTGCTGCCTTGAGTTTTGTAGATTGAAACAAAGCAGTTAGTTCTGAGCCAGGGACCTGACATCTCTGATAATTATGCTCTTCAGGAATGGTCGCTATAATAGAATGCACTGGAATAATCTAATCTGCTTGAGTTATTTGTTGCTGGAGATTGATACATTTTAAAAATTTAGCCTTTGTGTCAAATACAGAGTAAACACAGCAGTCTGAAAAGGAGAATACCCAGTTATGTCACAGAGCTGACCACCTTCTTGACTGAATTCCTGTATCACTTGTCTGAGTTGAGTTTAAGTATTTTGCTGAATTTATTACCAGGATCCCCCAGTTAGGCCCAGCCTGCATCATACTCCTGACTCTGTCCGATTTGACACCAAGGACCAGTCAGAATACAGACAGGGTGGACAGCCCAGCTGTCCCACCGTTCCTGTGAATGGCCTCCCTGAGTTGCAATTCAAGTTGAATTGTAAATAAAGCAACTTGTATTTCCTTAGGAAAGGTGTGTTTGGGTGTATGTTTCCTTTATTTAAATAAAGCATTCATTTCTAAGTGAATTTCTGGCATGTCAATCTTGGTAGTCTTTCTTAGGAGTCACTTGACTAATTTTGGCAGTCCATCTGGAAATGTGGTTTTGTTAGAAGGAGGATGTGTGATAATAGCAAGTGTGCTAATAGCAAGAGTTAGCAGTCTTGTGTTCATAGTTTGCCTTTGAATTTAGAACTAGAAAACAAGATGCTGATTGCCATAATTTGCGTTTGTGAGGCAATTTACTGCAATCTTAGCACATGTTCGGTGATGCATATTAAATGCATTTGGGCTGTTTTAGGGGGGCGGGCAACATTTTTACCCTTCAAAAATAGTTAAGCAGTTATTACATTGAAAAGTGGAGACTTTAATTGTGATGATCTGTCTTTCCATATTCCCCTTTCCGTGGAAGTGTTTGGGTCCTGCGCACAGCATTGTCTCTGTGTCTTCAACATCGAATTGCACCAAGACTCCCGATTAGAGAAGCCTGTGCGTTGGTTTGTAATGCTGCGACCTTGATGTACCTGCACATGTATTAGCACTTGCAACTGTAGTCACCTGATAAGAAAAATACCATCATTCCCTAGTGATATGTGTAGAAATAGGATTCCCTTGTGATCCTCAAGATAAAATCTTTCAAGTTTGGTGTTCTATGTCCCATACCAATGAATGGATTTGGTAATCTCACTGATGTCAGAATTGGTTTTATAATGTGCCCAGACAGACTCCTGTTTCAGAGGACAGACATAGGGGTGGTCATCTCCAACTATTTAGTATTGATCTTTCCCTGTCACGGGGCCATCAGCACTCATTCCCATCATCTGAACCTTAGATTGCTCCCTTGGGGCATCCAGGTGGCTCAGTCGGTTGAGCGTCCGACTTCCGCCCAGGTCATGATCTTATAGTTTGTGAGTTCGAGCCCCGTGTCAGGCTCTGGGCTGATAGCTCAGACCCTGGAGCCTGCTTTGGATTCTGTGTCTCCCTCTCTCTCTGCCCCTCCCCGCCTCGTACTCTCTCTCTCAAAAATAAATAAACATTAAAAACAATTAAAAAATAAAATAAAACATTTCTCCCTTACTACTGACTTACTGTATGGTTCTGGAGGTTGTAAGTTTCTTTGGATATTTTATTTCTTGGTTACAGAATGGCCATTTGCTTAGGTTGGTGATGCCTGTGTCTTCGGTGCTGTTGCTGGGATGGCATGTGCTCTGTGCTCTCTTAGATCAGCAGCTTGGTAGTAACCTCCATGTGGCATTTTGGGGAAGAGGGCGAGGATCTAGGAGAGAGGGAGTGTGGGCGTGGCTGCCATGCAGTCTGTGAAGTTAGGATTATCCGAGTGGAGTACTGCTAGAGATAAGGTAGAGGATTGCCCCTGGGCTTATCTTTGGGGTCAGAGATTGGGTCACGATGGATCCCACGTCTCTGAATTCTTGACCACTGGCCTCTGATGCCTGCCAAACAGGGACGCTCTAGACCTGCCTTTAAATAAATAAATGAATGCTCTGGAGCTTTGGGCACAGGTCTCCAGGTAGACACTTTAATGTAGACCAGAGATCAGCCGCTGGGGCTCTTCTGTGCTACACTGTGTTCTTGTTGGACCTTCCAGAGGGGACTAATTCCTTTTGGGAAACCAGTTCCAAGAACTCAAGTAATCCAATCTAAACAGAAAGGCCAAAAGAGGGTACTCCCTCAAAACCACTGCTCACCAGATCAGGACTAAACCTTTTCGGCTTCTGTCAATAGTAGATCTACTGCCTAGTAGCTAGGTGAGTCCCATTCTTGACCTTCTTAAAAGTCCTCCTTCCTGATGGTAGAAAGATGGGGATTCTCTCTTGGGGCTGGAGTGTGCCACCAACGGTCTCCGTGTCACGTGTGAGTGCCTGAAGTTGGCAGAGTCAGTGTTCCTTGTGGCACTCACTGCTGTGGGCCGGGTCTGTCCTCTGAGGGAGGCTGTATCGCAGCGTCACATGCCTACTGCTCTGGAGACCACGTGATTCACATGCTGGCTTTTCTAGCTCTGTAATGTGGGTAATTCCTTCTTTCTCTGGGCTTCAGTTTCCATGTCTTTAAAGAGGGAATAGTAATATTCCTATGTCTTGGGATATGTCAGGTATTTAATACAATGCCTCATGTTTAACTTTATTAGTTTGTTTTTTCTTTTTGTTATAGCCAGTGTTTCAGTCAGTTAGATTATCTATCTGTGTTGGTGAGGCCCAGGGGACAGATTCCAATTCTTTGTTCCCTGGCTGGTTTCCCTGCTGTTGTTCGATAGAGCAGCAGGCCAAGTAGGAGTAGGTAAGTGTGCATCTCCACTATGATGATGCCCCTCCTGCCACAGTCAGTACTCATTCCACGCTTGGGCTTGCAAGGACCAAGGGAAAGCAAGGCCAAAGCATTTTAGGAAAGAGAAAGGTGTCTGTGACTTCATATAAGGTAACAAAAGTTTTCATGCTTGAAAGTGACTAAGTGAAGGACACGGACACCAAGAAGAAACAGATGAGAGGAGTGAGGTTAGAGAAATAAGACTACACCCCACCCCTCTAGCAGGGCTGCTGCCTTGTAGACAGTATAGAACCTAAATGGCAGTGTTTGGCAGCCCTGACTCTTACATGACCACACATAGAAAGTGCTCCATTCCTTGGTGTCATTGTTCAGACTGTGTCTTTGCCCACGCTTGTCTGGTGAGTGCTGTGTGTCTTTTAAGACTCCTCTGAAGTCTTTGTTAATCCCTCCACCCCTGGTAGAATTGACTACTTCTTCCATTACGTGCCCCCACCCCCACCCCCCGCCAAACAGTTTTAAAAAATAAAATAGTAGCTTTATTAGTATTTTCCTGATAAAAACAAGATCACGTATGTTGGAACTAAGAAGAAATCTATGCTAAGTGCAGGTACTTCCAGAGAGGCCTTAAATGACGAGCATTTTATCTCTCCCAAGCAGATTTTCTCATAGCCCATGTAATTATGTTTATCTGTTGATTTTCCTCCCATTAGGGTGAGTTTATTGAGGGCAGGAATCAAGACATACTTGCATCTTTACATCCAACACTGGCCACAGTGCCTGTACATGGTAAGCAGGTGCTGTCTGTGGTGTTTGCACAAGGGATGAGGGAGGGGCTCCAAGTACTCAAGCTGAGGACTAAAGAGTTTTAGGACCTCATGGTGAAGCATTGACATTTGGTCACAGTTTGCGTGCCAGGCCTGTGCAGGGCACTGGGGCTGCATCTGTGGGCAGGACAGGGCTTCCTGGTGTGTCACAGTTGGATATGGACATGTGGCTTCACTACATAAAGAATTAGGCTCTTTCTCCCAGTTCTTCTATACTTGCTCATATAGAGTAGAGTAGGTGCCTCAACTCTTGGCTTCAAGAATGCTAATCTTGGAAAGGGCGTGTTTTATGAAATAATGTATTGTGCATATTCTCTTAAATCCATTCAGATAAAGTTTTTATGTCATTTGAATTCTATAGTATTTAATGAAGGAGTCCCTTTTTAAAAAGATTGGTTTCCAAAGTTACTAGAGGATTCCCTGTCATTCATCTGAGAGAATGGTCTGTATCAACATCGAGCAGCAGAGGGCGCTGTAGTTCAGGAGATGAAGCAGCAAACCTAGCTCATTGATTTACTTATTGTTTTGAACATGGAAGCTGTGGAGATAACTATTAAACCTCTTCTCTGAAAGCAAGCAACGACTGTATTAATAAATATTAACTACAATCTTTAGATTTATATCTTGCCTGAAATGAAGAGGAAATAAAAGTATTGATGGGAAAGAATCAAGTGAATAGAGAAAAAAATAGGCTAGGGACTTTTTCTGGAGCACTTCCAATCCAGAACTGGTTTTTAAAGATTATAAAAAATGTCCGGATATTTAAGGCCAGAGATCAGAAGAGAACATATTTTAAGGTCATAGATCATATCAGTAGAGAACATAGTGTACCTTTCATGTAAGCCTACTGGTAGGAAAATAACTGGGGGAATAATGATACTTTTGCTCTTTGAGGGCTGAGAAACTTCTAGATTAGATGTTTGTTTTCTAGACATTGGGATGCGAATTTTTTTTTGGTTCCAGGTTCTAGGAAATTTTTCTTTCCTTGGTATGTAACTAGCTTTGTTGTATTGCCTAGAAGCCTCACCAAAAAAGGTTTTCTATGGCATAGAAGTGTCTAAGGCTTAAAACTTGGAAGAGTTCTAGACTATAGCAGTATGGTTAGAAGAAAAGACAACATAAGATTTTTGGAACTTAGAAGGTCACATCAGCATTTTAATTTGTCAAATGCCAGTGAAAGAATTTTTGTTGCTCTTTTTTTTTTTTTTTTTACACTTTTAAAAAACTGGCTTATTGGGATATACTCTACATATCATAAAATTCACCCATTTAAAGTATACACTTCAGAGGTACCTGGGTGGTTCAGTTGGTTAAATGTCCGACTCTTGATTTTGGCTCAGATCATGATCTCACGGTTTGTGAGATCGAGCCCCACTTTGGGTTTGGCGTTGACAGTGCGGAGCCTGCTTAGGATTCTGTCTTTTCTCTCCTTCTGCCCTTCTGCTACTTGCATGTGCACGTGCTAGCGCTCTCTCTCTCTCTCTCTCTCTCTCTCTCTCAAGATGAATAAACTTAAAAAAAGTACTCTTTAAAGTGTACAATTCAGTGGTTTGTACTACATTCACAGAACTGTGCAGCCATCAACAGAACAAAATTTTACAACATTCTCATCATCCCCAAAAGAAACCCTATACTGCTTATCATTCACTCCCCATCCTCACCTGCTTAACTGCTCTACTTTCTGTCTTTATGGATTTGCCAGTCTGGGTATTTCATATCAATGGAATTATACAATAGGTGGTCTTTTTGGTGGCTGGCTTCTTTCTCTTAACACGATTTTAATGTTCATCTATGTTGTGGCATGTCTCAATGCTTCATTCTCTTGTGGATGTACCTCATTTTGTTTATACATTCATCAATTGATGAAAATTCAGATTGTTTTCCCTTTTAGGCTATTACCAGTAATGCTGCCATGCATATTCATGTGCATGTTTTTGATTGGGCATATATTTTCATTTCTTGTGGGTATTTAAGAGTGGAGTTGTTGGTCATATGGTAACTCTGACATTTTGAGTCACTGCCAAAGTGTTTTCCAAAGTGGCTGCACCACATTACGTCCCCACCAGTAGTGTGTAAGGGTCCCAGTTTCTCAGGATCCTCTCTAATACTATTGTCTTTCTGATTAGCCATCGATCCGAGTGAGTGTGAAGTGATAGCTCTTGTGATTTTGATTTGCATTTTCCTAATAACTAATGATGCTGGGCATCTTTTTATGTGCTTATTTGCCATTTATGTATTTGCTTTGGAGAAATGTTATACCAATCCTTTGCCCATTTTTAAGAGTTCTTTATGTGTTCTGTGTCAAAGTCCCTTATCAGACATATGATTTAAAAATATTTTCTCCCATTCTGTGTGTTGTCCTTTAACTTGATAGTATCATTTGTAGCACAAAGTATTTAATTTTGTTGCAGTCTAGTTTCATCATTTTTTCTTTAAAATGTTTGGTATCGTATCTTAGTAACCATTGCCACAAAGAGTTATTCCTCTGTAAGTCTTCTAAGAGTTTATAATTTTTGCTCTTACCTTTAAGCCTGTGACCCATTTTGAGTTAATTTTTGTATATGGTGTGAGGTAGGGGTCCAGCTTCATTCTCTTTACGTGTGGATATCCAGTTGTTCCAGCACCAATCATTTAAAAGACGATTCTTTTGCCATTGAATTGTGTTGATCTCTTGTCAAAAGTGAGTTGACCGTATATTTAAGAGTTCACTTCTAGACTTTCAATTCTTTACCATTGATCTATGTCCTGTCCTTATGCCGGTACTACAGTATCTTCATTTCTGTAACTTAATAGTAAATTTTGAAATCAGAAGGTGTGAGTCCTCCAAATTTGTACTTCTTTTTCCAGATTGTTTTGATGATTCTGGATTCCTTGAATTTCCATATTAATTTTATGATTAACTTGCCAATTTCTGCAAAGAAACCAGCTGGGGTTTTTGATAGGTATTGCACACACTGAATCTGTAGATCAATTTGGAGAGTATTGCCATCTTAACATTATCGAGTCTTCCAATCCATGAATGTTAGATGTCTTCTTATATTTATATATTCTTTGAATTTTCCCCATAATGTTTTGTAGTGCAATGGTGTGCAATGCTTACACTTTTTTTGTTAAATTTATTCCCAGTTGTTTTATTCTTTTTTATGCTATTATAAATAGAATTGTTTTTCTTAAAAAAAAATTTTAATGTTTATTTATTTTTGAGAAAGAGAGAGAGCGTGAGTGGGGTAGGGACAGAGAGAGAGGGAGACACAGAATCTGAAATAGGCTCCAGACTCTGAGCTGTCAGCACAGAGCCCGATGTGGGGCTTGAACTCACGAACCATGAAATCATGACCTGAGCCAAAGTCGGACACTTAACCAAATGAGCTCCCCAGGCGCCCCAGAATTATTTTTCTTAATTTCACATTTAGATTGCTAACTGCTAGTGTATGGAAATACAATTGATTTTTTTTTAATGCTTATTTTTGAGAGAGAGAGAGCATGTAGGGGCAGAGAGAGAGAGAGAATCCCAAGTAGTTTCCAGGTTGTCAGTGCAGAGCCTGATGCAGGGCTCCATCTCACGAACTATGAGATCATGACCTGAGCCGAAATTAAGATTCAGATGCTTAACAGACTGAGCCACCCAGGCACCCCTACAATTAATTTTTGCTAGTCTTGTATCCTGCAACATTATTTGAAGTTGCTTATTATAATACCTTTATAGTAGGTTCCTTAGGATTTTTTATATACAACATCATGCCATCTGTAGCTTCTTTATTTCATTTTCTTGCTTAATTGCCTTGGCTAGAACCCCTAGTACAATGTTGAAAAAAAGTGGTAAGAGCAAACATCCTTGTCTTGTTTCTGTTTTTAGAGGAGAAGCTTTCAGCTTTTCAACGTGAAATGTTGGATATTTTGTAGATGTCCTTTATTAGATTGAGGAAGCTCCCATTTATTCCCAGTTTGTTGAATATTTTTATTATGTAAGTCTCTTGAATATTGTCAAATTCCTTTTCTGCATCTATTAAGATGGTACATGGGTTTTTCAGATGTTAAACCAACCTAGTATTCCTGGGATTTTGGGGTCCATATTCACAAGGGATATTGATCTGTAGTTTCTTTTCTTGTTATATATACCTTTGTCTGATTTGGGTAGCAGGGTAATATTAGCCTTATAGAATGAACTTGGAAGTGTTCTTTTCTGTTCTTTGGAAGAGTTTGTGAAAGATTAGTGTTCTTTAAATGTTTGGTAGAATTCACCCATTGTGCCATCTGGACCTATCCTTTTCTTTCTAGGAAGTTTTGAAATTACTAATTCAATTTATTTGCTTGTTAAGGGTCTGTTCAGATTTCCTGTTTCTTCTTGAGTCCAATTTGGGAGTTTCTGTCTTTCTAGGACTATACCCATTTCACCTAAGCTATCTAAATTTTTGTCATCCAGTTGTTCATAGAGTTCCTTTATATCTTTTTTATTTTTGTAAGGTTGGTGATGATGTCCTTTTTTCCATTCCTGGTTTTATTCATTTTATCTTTTCTCTTTTTTTTTCTTAATTAGCTAAAAGTTTGTCAGTTTTACTTACCTATTGCCCACTTTTAAAATTGCTTCAACAGAAAGAGTTTATTTCCTTTTTCTTTTTTTTTAGGGTTGATTTCTTTATCCCAGGAGTCTCTGTGGTTGGTGGGTTCTCAATATGCTCCAGCCCCAGACTGCTAAAACAAGAGAGGATGATAGAATTGGCAGTGAAATATGCGAACCACCCCCCTGCTGTCTGGATTCACAATCAGGTGAGCAAACCTGTTTAAACTTGGAGATCTGGGCATCACTGCCTCCCACAAAGTTGGTGTTCAGCTCACTTCATGCACTTAAGAAACCTAGGCTTGAATGAAAAGGGTGCATGCTCACAAAGAGCCCCTATATCCACAATTCAGACTCCATGATGGTCAAAGAAGCAGAATCCTTTTGATGCATTAAGGAAGAAGACTGATATCTTCTGGGTTACCAGTGTTGAGTTGAACACTCTTTAGTACTGAAATATTTTATGTTTTATGTAAGTTTTTGAAAGTTGCCTCTGTATATATGTCTCGTAAATGGTACATCTATAAGTCAGATTATTTTTTCCTAACTGTCCTAAACAAAGGGAATTAAACCATCACTCTCTCATTTGGAAAGGAAACAATTTCTGATTGCATCCCGCTCGTGCCCAGAGCTGAGTGCTGCTGAATCTGTGGTGTTATTGCCTTTCTGGAGAGTTCCTCACACATGATTCTGAGAGGGAATCCACATTTGCTGCTAATAACTGCTGTTTTACCATGGGACTCAGCACAATCCTACAGAAGCTGCCTGCTCATTACCTTCTAGAACTCTGGTAACAAAGAATGAGCTCAGCACAGATTAGTTGTCTTCTTAGTTTTTGACCCTTCTCTCCTTTTTACCACCATCCCTTTTGTTTCTGGACTGTGCCTTCTATATTTACCAACAACCTCCATCCCATCCCAGGCCTTTTCTTATCACCTTTTCCAAAAAGGAATGTACCAGTATAAATATTGTAGCTGTAGATAAACTGATTTTAGCAGTTATTGGAAGGGCAGAGGGACCAGAAGAGCTAAAACAAGTTTTGAAAAAGAATAAAGTGGGAAGAATCACATTGCTCAAATTTAAGGTGAAAATAAAGCTACAGTAATGAAAACAGTGTGGTATTGGTGAAGGGACAGACACATAAATTGATGGAACAGAATAAAGAGTTCAGAAATAGACCAACATACATATGGCCATTTGAGTTTTGACGAAAGTGCTGAAGAAATTCAGTGGCAAAAGAGTAACCTTTTCAACATGTAGAAACGGGACTGTTGTTTATCCGTATGCGAAAAAAAGAAAAAGAACTTTGACCTAAATGTCATACTTTATGTTGAAAATTCACCCAAAATAGGTTGTAGATCTAAGTGGAAAACACAAAACTATAAAAATTTCGGGGGAAAACTTAGGAAATATTCTGAACATGAGGGTGGACAAAGTGTTCTTAGGCAGGACACCAAAAGCAAGAGCCATAAAAGAAGAGGTTGATGTATAGGACTTAATCAAAACTAAAAACATTTTTCTGCAAAAGATACTGTTAACAGAATTAAAAAAAAAAAAAACAAAACAAGCTACAGACTCAGAGAAAGTTATTTGCACGTTAGATATCCAAGAAAGGATCTGTAATATCCAGAATACATAAAGAGCTCTCAAAAGTCAGCAAAAAGAAAACAAGCATAATTTAAAAATAGGCAGGAGATTGAAAGGTACTTCTCTAAAAGGATGTAAGATGGCAAATAAGCAATGACCAGATGTTCACCCTCATTAGGGAAATGCAGATTAAAACCGTATATAGCACGGTGTCTCTACACACCTCGTAGAATGGCGAACCTTAAAAATTCTGACAATACCAAGTGCTGGTAAGGATGTGGAGTGACTGGAAGTCTCTTGTATTGCTTAGATTGCTAGCAGGAATGCAAGGTAATACAGCCAATCTGGAAAACATTTGGTAGTTTTGTATGGAATTAAATATGCACTTATCATAAGTCCTAGTAATACTGCTCCTGGGTGTTTATTCTAGAGAAATGAAAGCTCTGTTCATTTAAAAGCCTGTATAGGAACATCTATCGTTGTTCTATTCATAATTATCAAAATCTGGAAACAACCTAAATGTTTCTCAGCGGGTGAGTGAATAAACGAACTGTGATCCATTCATAACAATGTATTGTTATTCAGCAATAAAAATGGATGAACTATTGATGCTCTCCCCTTGGGTGAGGCTCAAAGGCCACATGTAAAGTGAAAAGAGCCAGTTCTCAAAGGTTACGTACTCCATAATCCCATTTTTGTCACACTCTGGAAGACAAAGATACAATGATGGAAAACAGATGAGTGGTTAACAGGGGTGAGGGGTAGGGAAAGGTGTGAGCATAGAGAGCACAGGGAGGTTTTGAGGGTGATGGAGCTGTTCTGTATCTTGGTTTTGGTGGTAGTTACGTAGATCTACGTATGTGTTAAAATTCATAGAGCTATACTCCCCCCACCCAAAAAAAAATGTGTTACTGTAAGGTAATTAAAAAGAAAAAGATATAGGGGCATAAGAAATAGCTGTTCTAATTAGGGTCTGCATGTCAAGTTGTATCTGTTCAGAGTAAGGCAGCTGCTTGCCTTAGCATTTCCATTCAAAGTGTATCCTGTCACATTTTTACCCTCTGACCTTCTGAGTCACTCCTTCCATGTGTCCTCAGCTGCTGCATTCCTTTTTAGATTCGCTTTGGATTTTCCACCCATTGCTGTCTGTAGGCTGCATCCTGAGTCTCTAAAAGATGCCATGGGGGTGGAACCAGCAAGGTTTCCATGTGTCCCACACTCAGTGTTAAAATGAGCTTAGCCATCCTGGCTCCTAGTTCCATGAGTCCCCTCCAGTGATCAGCCTCCCACGTGACTTGACCTGGTCCTGGTCCACAGCTCCCTGCTTGGTTTCATGCCTCATTGACATTTCAATGAAGGAACTTATTCTTAGAGGCGGTAGAAAATCTCCAAGTGGCATTGCTTGAATGCACATTTTAATTGTAGTGCCTGCTCCACTCTGCCCGGTGGGAGTTGCAAACAGCCTTTATGAAGTCAGATTTTTCTTGGAACCATTCTCAGGTGGCTGTTTTCCTCCTGAGGGTTTGTCTTACGAAGCTATTAGAGTGGACAATTGAGGCACGTGAGTGTCTGGGTGGCAGCAGGCTGCTCTGTGGGGACAGGGGATAAAGTGCCATAAATGTCTTCCTTTATTTTATCTGCTTTGGCTCAGGCTCCTGGCAGGGTAAAGGGTTCTAGACAGCTATTGTGTGCTGGGCTCCAGTTGCTGTGGAAAAGTTGTTTATTTCGCAAGTAGAAAAATCTATACCCAAATTAGATACATGGCTATGTAATTGAGGGTAACGTCCTTTTACTCGCTTACATATTATACCGTGTAGCACTTTGAGTCTTGTGTTCATGCTACCTTGGCAGTTTTTATTGATCAATAAAAGACAAAGATGGCTTTTCATTCTTTCCAGATGCTAGCAAATTAGAAGAGAGATCTATTTAAGATTATTTTGTCACTAAGGAGATGGCATGCACATTGTTTTGTTGTTGGTGCCAACTTTAGGGTTTTGAAAATACTCCGGTTTCTAAAAACAGTACCCTAAAGGCTTTGCTGTCACTACTAGTCCTACTGAAGATGACCATTGGAGAAAATGATTTCTGTCTCATTTCTTAGTCTCTCTTATGTTCTTGGAAATAAAGAGAAACGTGTATAGGCAAGCAGGATGGGGAGGGAGGGTACAAAGAGATTAAATCTGTCGTCATTAGGCAGAGCCTCTCGTATCACAGCTTCTCTTTTTGAGACTTGGAAAGAAGGGGCATTTTAAAGCACTTTGGTGGCCACTGTAGTGATTCCTAGATTGTACTTATTCCTAACAGAATGCTCCCTTGCTGCTAATTTCTTTTGTCAAAAATGAAAACCCACTTACCGTTCTTCATGTAAAAATGGCCTATATATTTAAAATTGTTCAGTTCAGATGTTTTTTCTGAGAAAGGATTTCCCTTCATTTAATCATTCTTTACTTTCCAGAAAGGAACCTCTTTAGTGAATTAAAATAATTTTCATTTTTTCTTAGATTTCTCAAAGATTAACCCTTAAGATTTAACAGCTTTCCGTTGTAAAGCCCCAAATTCAATTCATGTCAAAAAGTACTTAGCTGCCTACCTGCCATGTAAGGTGCCAAGGAGTGAATGCTGAGGGTCTGGTCTTTTAAAAGCACATGATAACTTACTGCTTCTTAGGAGGGTGTTCATTCAGTTGATCTGCATCAGGAACATGTAATGGAGCGAAGCTTTGCTTTTGATATAAATTTCTTTAGTTCTAGACTCTCGTTTTTAGGGAAGAAGGAAGCAGGCACCCCCAGTGCTTTCTCTTCTCTGACGGCTGCAATGACTAAAACACCCTCTCATAATAGAACCTGATGCCAGCAAGCTCTTCCCCATGGTGTGTCATATGACGGCCACCACAGCCCTGTGAAGTGAGTAGGACAGGTGCTGGTACCCATTTAACAGACGTGGTAGCAGAGGCTCAGAAAAATTAAGCAACTTGATGGACTTCATAGACTGTGATTAAGATTCAGTCTTCTGGCTCCCAGATGAGTGCATTTTCTCCAAACTAGAAGTCTCAACCCTGTCAGATCCAATGCCCTCTTTGTAGAACTATCCTGAGATGAAATTCAAAGTTAGTGTAATCAACACATGAAAAATTTTGGGGTGGCCTAATTCTCTAAGTGTAATGCCAAGGAGAAATAAAAGTGATTCATGGGGTGCCTGGGTGGCTCAGTTGGTTAAGCATCTAACTCTTGATCTCAGCTCAGGTCTTGATCTCAGGGTCGTGAGTTCAAGCCCTGCATTGGGCTCCATGCTGGGTATGAAGCCTACTTAAAGAAAAAGAAAAGTGATTCACAATCAGAACCTATATGTTTCTTTATATTTTTTTTATTTTGAGAGAGAGTGAGAGAGAGAGAGAGAGCGCGCGCGAGCGAACACAAGTGGGGTAGGGCAGAGAGAGAGGGGACGGAGGATCTGAAGCGGGCTCTGTGCTGAGAGCAGAGAGCCCAAGTGGGGCTGGAACTCACAAACCACAAGATCATGACCTGAGCTGAAGTCAGATGCTTAATCAACTGAGCCACCCAGGTGCTCCTGTGTGTTTAAGTGTATGAATGGTTGGGCATATCTTTTTTTTTTAATTTTTTTTTTCAACGTTTATTTATTTTTGGGATAGAGAGAGACAGAGCATGAACGGGGGAGGGGCAGAGAGAGAGGGAGACACAGAATCGGAAACAGGCTCCAGGCTCTGAGCCATCAGCCCAGAGCCTGACGTGGGGCTCGAACTCACGGACCGCGAGATCGTGACCTGGCTGAAGTCGGACGCTTAACCGACTGTGCCACCCAGGCGCCCCTGGTTGGGCATATCTTAACTAGAAGAACAAAGTAGGCAGATGGTTATTCCTCAGTGTGGAATCACCATGAGTACACCCTCTACAGATGCAGATTGTAAGATTCTTTATGGTGACAGAACTGGGATGTGGTTTTCCAGAACAGTGAACATACTTGGTAAAGTTCTGGATACAGCAAAGCACAATCCACATGATGGTTACATTCTGGAAAATTCAGACGCCACTAGATACGTGCAAAAAATGCTTTGTGTTTTTTGTAAAATGAGTTAGGATCTAGTCTCAGATTATTACGAACCAGTTTTCACCTACATGTACATCCCATGGGCCATTCACAAGTTTCTGCACGGCAGTCCTGGGCATTGGAGATAATGATGTGCTGCTAGATCGGCTCTCTGAGTACAAAAGCCCTCATTTGCAGCATTTGCTGATTTCTGTGCTGCAGATACTCCCTCAGTGGCCGATTTCAAACAACCAGTAGAAACTAGTCCATGAAATTCCTCAAAATTTAACCATCAGCTGAACAGAAGCCGGCTCGAGGACATCGCTAACTTCACAAGACATCTAACACCTTTGGCCCTGCCCTCTGACTGCCAGTTGGGTTTTCTAAACCATGGTGACGATAAGGAAGTGTCACCACGTGTTTCCATAACACCCCGTCAGGGGCAGGATCACCTCCATGGAGAACCAGTACATTCAGCTCTTATCGTATTTCTGGTCTAAGTGGCCTCACCAAATAGGCGCTCTACCTGGGTGGGGTGGCTGTCTGTGGTGCTCCCCTCCTAGTGTGAATCCTCTGCTGTCTATTCTTACCTCTCCAGGGAAGAGCGGACAGTACTGACCAGCATCTCAGGGCTGGCCTCGAGCCTGTGCAACAGCTCTGGCTGTGCCCTGCTGGTGACCCGGAGGAAGCCCCCCGGTCCCCAGGGTCTTCTCTTATGAGCCCAGGGCAGCCGCAGCATAGTGACACTTGCTCCATCCTGCCTGTGTCAGCTCCATGACTTGGATCAGAAAACAGGAGCGCCGCAGAGAAAAGGGGACTCGTGCTTCAGAGCCGTCCCCTGAGCCCAGTGCCTTTTTCCACAACCCAGCTCTTCACCTAAGAAGTTAACAAATGGCAAAATTACTGACGCGAGTCTTCTTTTGTCCGTACTGGAGTGGCTGTGCAGTGTGGATCACAGAGGCAGAGTAGCAAATGGCCTGTATAATGGACAAGTGGAATCAGTTCACAGGGCCCTGGCACAATTGAGAGCTGGCTGTGAAAATAGTCCTAAACACTGATAAACATGCAGAAGGTAGACACAGTCTGTGTTATTAAAGAAGAGCATTAGATTTAAGACCTGTGCCACAAAGGACTAACGGATCTTTTCTTTCCTGCCCTAGTGTACCCTTGACTCTGAAGTGGCCGTGAGAGTGGGTGGAGAGTTCTTCTTTGACCCTCAGCCTGCAGATGCCTCTAGAAACCTGGTGTTGATTGCAGGAGGAGTCGGAATTAACCCTCTGCTGTCCATCCTGCGGCACGCGGCAGACCTCCACAGAGACCAGGCGAACAAAGGAAGCGGCTATGAGGTCGGAACGATAAAGCTCTTCTACAGTGCAAAAAATACCAGTGAACTCCTGTTTAAGGTAAGGAAGAAACATATGTCTCGTCGCTTGCCGTGAGCAAACTCGTGTCATGGTATTAGTCGTCCATAGAACTTTCTTCCGTTAGTTCTGTCTTCTCTGCAACCGTTGTCCCACCAAAAGCCTTGACAAGGCTTTATCATGTTCAGATGGGAATTAACCAACACTTTTTATGCCGGACAGTGAAACAGCTAGTGTTGAGGACGCGCCCACTGAAGTGACAGGCCTAGGGCAGGTTTGTGGGCTTGAATCTGGAGGCGGATGAACAGAAAAGTCGCCACATCCCTGAGATTCCGTCGAGTCAGGAGACCTACAACTGGGCTCGTGTGTTACAGGAGTAGGTGAGAGGCACAGAGTTTAGACCCGCTGGGTAAATGAAACCCCCGTCGGTTCCATCTGTTGAAACTAAGTACGTTTGACAGGAGAAGGCTTTCACTCTGGATTGCTTTGCAGCTGCAGGATGAACAAAAGAACAGAAACAGTTAAAAGACACAACTGTGGTCAGTGAAACTGCTGCTTAATTGCCGATGCTTGAGAAAAAGGAAGAAGAAAAAACTCCCGGAGAGTTAGTAATATGCTTGTTAGCATATTCAGATTTCAATTAAAGCCAAATAGCCCTCTGTACTCTGAACGCTCTGGCCTGCTAGGCTGCAGACAATACCTCTCTAAGTAGAGAGGAAGAGTGGCAGACGTGTGCAGAATGGGAGTCGAGGTTCAGCGGCAGGGGTTGTGCACATCTGTTTTGATTTTTTAAAATTGTAGCGTGACCAAATATGTTTGACATTCCAGCAAAATATCCTCGATTTAGTAAATGAATTTCCTGAGAAGATTGCGTGCAGTTTGCATGTTACCAAACAGACTACACAAATCAGTGCAGAACTGCAGCCATACATCACAGGTGAGTCCCCTGAAGATATTTTGACTATCTCCACGTGGTTGTTTGGAGGACATGCCAGTCGGTCGAGTGTGGATGCTTTACCGTTGGGAGTTGCTGCCTAGGAATGTCACTACCTGGGGAGCTGGGGGGTGACTCATCATGGAAAAGTAAGGACAGATTCAGTGAGATTTACTTACTATGTACAGGTTTCTTACTGCCCATGTTAAAAATTTATTTTCCACATTTTTTAAGGGGACCTTTGCGTCATCGCTGTAGTATGCCTACAAAGAATTTATATTCCAGCTTTGACTGAATCGATGCCATTTGCCATTCATGGTCATTTAAACTACTCGTGGTTTCCCCTGCCTGGAAAGATTTTTCACCAGTTTATTTACTTTGCCGAAGTGAGTTCTGAATCTCTACCAAAGATTAGTAAGCTAACTGGCCCTGTCTGAAGAGTGCATTATGACGAGCTTCCCACTTTGCCTGCCGGAAACCTAGAGATGCACTCTCCGCTTGGGTCTGGCGCCCGGTGCTACCGCCAGGAGCCATAGTGTGAGGGCCTCAGCACTAGACTCCCTGAGCTGGAGTTCCTGGAAACGGACACAGTTGCTGAGTGGTAGTTAGTCCTTCCTCATTTCGGTACAAGCATGTCTGGCTTATTTGCTGTTGATTCTGGTTTTTTTTGTTTTTTTTTGTTTGTTTTTTTTGGTAGAAGGAAGAATAACGGAGAAGGAGATAAGAGATCATATTTCAAAAGAGACTTTGTTCTATATTTGTGGCCCACCTCCAATGACAGACTTTTTCTCCAAGCAACTGGAAAACAGCCATGTTCCCAAAGAACACATTTGCTTTGAGAAGTGGTGGTAGGGAGCAGGCAAAGGTAGAAGAGAGAGAGCTGTGAAATCTTCTCAGGACAGTAACAGAGACATGATTTGTGGCACCATGAATTTACCTCTCCTCAGCGGTTTTTTTGTTTTGTTTTGTTTTCTTTTTTCTTTTTTTTTCCAAGGCTGAACTAAGTAAGTGACCAGCTGGAGCATCAAAGAAAAACCAGCCGACAGACTTCAATGATAAACTTTTTGCCAAGACTTCATTGATTAAATATTTTTGCTATTTTGAGTTTCTTGTATTAATAACTGTTTGATTATCTCATGATGCATTTTGAATCGGTCAATATAGATGTTCTTTCCTCTTAGGGAAAAAAGAGACTATCCTTAAACTTAATCATATAAAAATGTTCTGTGTGTAAGATATAGGTTGTCCTTATTTGGTAGCAACCTATATATCTTATGTCCAATAAACTTATAATTTAAACACATTCTTATTAATCTTACCTTGAAAATTCTTTATATTTAAGGTCTTAGTTCACCTTACTACAAGCCTGAAGGCTTGTTTCTTCAGACCATCAAAATTGTGGTTGGAAATGGAAAATTATTAGGAAAACTTCTTTAGGGAATTGAATATCTGGCATGTTCGCTTAGTGTTAATGAATGTCCTAAGTATGTATCCTGACTAATTGTTAGTTTCTCCTCAAATTAAATCCTTTTCTGTGCTCTGCGTCTTGGCTGCCTGCCTTAACACTACATGTAGGAGGCGGCTTCTTGTTTGGGACAAAGGCGTCGGTGACTGCTGGATTCTATGTTGAATCTTGCCGTCAATGGCCAGGCTGGCTGGCTGTAAAAATGTGCTGAGGATTGATTAGGGAGTATAGAGCCATTTCCAAATCCTGCTTTTCTGCCTTTTATTTAATTTCTTTGCCAGGGTTGTTCTTGGCACCAATAATAGCTCCACGATACATACTTGTTGAATGACTGAAAGAAAGCAGCTAACACTTAGCTCCTTGCTAAGCCTGGGTTGGGAGGCAGTCCCCAGGACGGACGGAGAGAACGGTGGAGCCTCATCGCAAGGCTGCTCTAATGAAACTGCTAGAAAGCAGACTGCTCTTCGTATCTTCATTTAGATCTTCAAAAGGCCAGAAGAAGTCCATAGGTTGAGGCCAGGCCATTCTTCTTGGGACACAGTGTTGGGCCCAAGGCTACCAGCTTGGAGAATACTGTGAGGGTAAAAGGGGTCTGGGAAGAAAGGAAGATCAGTTCTGGAGACACAGGAGTTCCACTTGGAATTCTGTTCCTGAGCTGATGGAACAGCTGATGGGGAAAGACATCTTGCTCTTTGTCATCTCTGTGGCTACAGGCCTCATGGGGAATTTGGGGTTAAACACATCATTGATTTATGGGGCCTGATGATGGCTGGCATCTTTATTGTGGACTCTTCCCTGTTTTGAATTTTGTCAAGTTTTTAAATTTTTCTGTTTTTATTTTCTGAGAGCAGGGAAGGGGTGGAGAGAGAAGGAGAGAGAGAATCCCAAGCAGGCTCCACACTGTCAGTGCCGAGTCCGATGCGGGGCCTGAACCCACAAACCACGAGACCGTGATCTGGGCCGAAATCAAGAGCTAGATACTTAACCGACTGAGTCACCCAAGTGCCCTGAATTTTGTCACGTTTTAAGCAAAGATCATCTGTCAGCTATTTCAATCCCACATTCAAGTTCAGCAGGAAGAAAGGGAGGCGGTTGACTTGATGGGAATTTCAAAGTCTGCTCAAGGCAGTGATTATCCCCGCATTTCATAGGTGAGGGGAGGGAATATGAGACGCTCTGGCCGCAGTAAGGAGCCCTGACTCCTCAATTGGTCCCCAAGTGCCCAGGCCCATGGGCTGGGCTTTAGGGCTGAGTACTCAAGAGGCACAGGAGCGCGGCGCACTGAGATTCAGGGATGTGGGAGCAGCAGTGGGCTCTTGTGCCGACTGGCAAAGGCAGCTGGCAGGGACGGGGACACAAAGGTATAGAGAAAGTGGCCGCCCCAGGCTTTTCTGCGTTGGGAGTGGAGGCGCAGGGCAAGCCTCTTCACAGCGTGAGATGTGCGCAGAGGGTGGTGCCTCCCACCGCCTCTGTCCACCTGCCGCCACAGCCTGTCTGCCTGCTGTTGTGACAGAGCAAGGGCCACCTGTCCTGCCCACCACCCTGCCAGTCGACGTCACCATCCGTAACCTCTCTAGACAGGCCAGGTCATGACCTCTGCCTGGACCGTAGTCCCTTCCAGCTCTGTCGTTTCTGGCGCTGAGTGCCGGACAGTATTTCTGGTCTGCTGGCCAAGACTGGTCCGTTGCTCTCGTTTGCCAGGCTAGTCAAGATCTCTTTGGTACTCAGACTGAACTAAGCCAGGGGGGCTTGAATTTATAGTGTGGAGGCTGAGAGTGTAGACTGGAGAGAGCCCTGGAGTCCCACTGCTTGCTAGATGGAGGACCTTGAGTGAGTCACTCAAGTGTGTCACGCCTCAGTTTATAATTCCACCACGTGTGCACACACTTGCTACTACATGTAAAGTAGAATCCTACGTACCTCCCAGGACTGTCACGGGGATTAAATGTGATAATACGTATAAAGTGCTTGGCAGAGCACTGCTTGAGTGTGTTAGTAATTTGCTACTCCTTGTCTTATTCCAAAAGGATTTCAAGAGGCCGGATGGCTTAGGTTTAGTCCACTAACCTTTAACCTACGTGCGGGTAGGGCCCTGTCTCGTTCCGCACTATGCTTGGCACATAACAGGTGCTTAGTAAATATTTCTTCCATGGGTGAAAGGGAGTGCCCAAGCTGATGAGCTGTGTTAAAGGAATTTTTTTTTATGTTTGTTTATTTATTTATTTTGAGAGAGAGAGAAGGGGAGAGAAAGAATCCCAAGGAGGCTCCGTGCTGTCAGCACAGAGCCTGATGTGGGGCTCAGTCCCACAAACCGTGAGATCATGACCTGAGCTGAAATCAAGAGTCAGATGTGGAACCGACTGGGCCCCCGGCCTCCCCTACAGGGATTCTTAAAGATCATTCGAGCCTAATTAGTTTGTGAAAAGATGTTGCTTTTAGTGATATGAGACCCTTCTACAGTCTATATCAGAGAGAGGTGAAGCTGATGTAGGAGTCTTCCTCAAATTTGAAGTGTTGGTATGAGCACCAGCACTTACCAGGAAATGGATCAAATACTTGGTCTTTCCCAAATGGTCTGCTGTCCCTCACCAGTAGGTGTGTGCAGATGGGCATGGAGCTCTGAGATAAAGATGTTCCCTGAAGCCCTGGTTCTGGTCGGTAGCCCCTACTTTGAAAATCGTATTGTAAAAATTATGAAAGACAGAACGGATGCTTGATTCTTGCCCTGTATTTATCAGTTAGTCTAATATGAGTTGGTGCCCTAGCAACCTCCAAAACTGGTCACCGGTGAGATTTTTAAAAGTATCAATATGAACTCATCGCTTTTTGAACGTTTGATTGTGTCTATTGTGGCCAGATTTTTGCTGTTCAGCTTGTTTTGGGGTGGCCCCTGCTGTGTTAGTTGTGGGGGTTGCTGATGTTTGCATCTCTGATGGCTCTCGGAGTTGCAAACAGTGCTCTAATAAACGTGAAGGAAGAAAAGGAGATCAGTGTGGCGTCAGGACACTACATGAAGAAAGTGTTTCAAGGAGGACAGACTGGCCAGCTGTGTCATGTTGCCGGTAGGACCGGAAAGGTGAGTTCTGACGAGCGACCGTTGATTTAGCAACTGGAAGGTCCCTGGTGATCTTGACAAGATGGATGTTAAGAAAAAAAACGTGGGGGTGCCTGGGTGGCTCAGTCGGTTGAGCGTCTGACTTCGGCTCAGGTCACGATCCCCCACTTTGTGGGTTCGAGCCTCGCGTCGGGCTTTGTGTTGACAGCTCAGAGCCTGGAGCCTGTTTCGGATTCTGTGTCTCCCTCTCTCTGCCCCTTCCCCGCTCATGCTCTGTCTCTCTCTGTCTCTCAAAAATAAATAAACGTTAAAAAAATTTTTTAATAAAAAAGAAAAAAAAAAACACGTGAAGAAGGAAAACCTATTGTAGTGGTTTCCTTTCCACAACTGGGAGGAAAGAAATTGTAATGAATGAGGATAGATAATAGTTTCAAAGAGTTTTACTATGAAGGGGAAAAAAAAGATAGGAAAGGCAAGTAGAGTCCATAGAACTCACCCCACCACCGCCTTTCTTTTTACTCCTTTTCAAAATTTTGTTTTGTTTTAAAACTTTTTCTTTTGAAATAACTTTAGATTTACAGAAGAGCTACAAAGGGTTCCCGTATACCTTTTACCCAGCTTCCCCAAATACCGTCTTATAGAACCATGGTGTATTTATCAAAGCTAAGAAGTCAACAACAGTACAGTTAGGTTGGTACAGTGCTATAAACCAAGCCATAGTTAGTTTTGTTTTTTTTTAAGGTGAGAGAAATAACAGCCTGAAAAACTATGAAAGAATCATTCAGTGGGATACCACTTGGGATGGTGAGGTGACGGCTTTTTCTGGAGGGTGAGAAGTTAACTAAGTGTGATTTATTGAGCACCTAGTATGTGCAGTCACTGTGCTAGAGATTGTAGACAGGAAAATATAAGGTTATCCTGAGCAAGTTAAGTATTTGGAAAACTGAAAGTAGAAATGCTTTGGAGGGCAAAATGGTTTATTTGCAAGTGTTGCCGATCAAAGGGGAAGCTATAGAAGGTGGCTGGCTGGACAGGTCACTGGAGGCGTGGGTGGAGCTATGGGAAGGGTTGTGCCCACACTCCGGGGACCGTGCTTGGGAGAGCTGTTACACAGGACGCAGAGCTGCTGCAGGTGTGTTCACATACGCTGTGTGAGCAGCAATATGTATGCACAAGCCCAGTGATCGCCCAGCATCACGCACCTCTGTCGGAGAGGTTTTTTTTTTTTTCTTTCTTTCTGATTGGAAAACAGCAATTTCCTTCATTCCTGGGTACTGCGGATGATCGTATGCTGATAATTTAACCTGAGCGCTGTTATTTCATTTTATTTTAAATGAAACTCCAAGAATTATACCATTCTCATCTTCGAGAAGTAGTGGGATGTCTTGTCTTTAATATTCTTCTTTCCTAATATGTGCCTCGGCAGCAGGCATGGTGATGACATACGAAGATACCTTCTGACCCACCATCCACTCAAGGCGTGCATTGAAAAGTATTTGTGTTCAGGAGTCCTGACTTCCTCGTTACTAAGCAGCTGTCTCCATCCTGTCTGTTCTGGGTTCTTAACTACCCCCTGTCCCGTCCCCACCATCCCCCATCCCTGCCCTTGCCCCTGCCCCTGCCCCTATCCCTGCCCCTACCCCTGCCCCTGCCCCTGCAGGAGCCCATAAACCTGACCTCCGTGTCATCTCCATGTCCCAAGACTTTGTCTATTCCTTTGTTCTTTCTTAATTACCTGATGAATATGATTATAAAAAATCAAATAATATGAAAGCATGTGCAT